AAAAACATAGATCTTTTTCAACTGAACTTTTGAAAATGTTCCGGAAATACTGCGTCCTTTAAACATATATCAAATCAAAGGTTATGTTATATACTATCAAATGAAAAAAAAAAATTTGTCCCGACATCTTATCTTCTATGTGCAAATGGCTGTCGAAAATTTAAAAAAAAATGTAATGTTTGCGATAAAAATTACATTTTATCGGGATGTTTTTTGTACTTAAAACTGCCATAACTTTTTCAAAAATGAACAAATAAAAATAATATTTTTTTGTATTGAAACCTTAGATATTTCCCTTTCATTTGATATAATTTTTTTTGAAAATCTAACACTTATTCTGCTCACTGGGAGGATTTAAAATAGTAACTTTTTTACAAAAAATAACTTTTTCAACTTAATTTTTGAAAATGTTCCGGAAATACTGCGTCCTTTAAACATATATAAAATTAAAGCTTATTTTATGTACTACAAAATGAAAAAAAAAAATTTGTCCCGACGATCTATCTTCTATACGCAAATGGCTACCATATTGAAAAATATACTATTTTTGTATGATAATTATGGGTTTTGTATTTTATTTTAATAGAAGTTGATGTTGCTTTTGCAATTATCCATCAATTTTTTAAAATTAAACACTATCTACAGATTTGCATCGAAGCGTTTCTTATGATAGTGATTTTAATCACTGTCAGATTAAATCTATACTGGACCCTACTATGCAATGTCTCTACTATGCCGCGACCCCCTGTGCTACCGTTTTTTATTATAAACGGACGAAAAAAGTATGTTAGAAATTATTACTTTTAACATATTAATAATAATAAATAATAATTTGAAAATAATTTATTATAAAAATTATGTAATATATAATTAAAACTATTTTGCTTTTATAATTATCCACCAATTACTTAGAATTAAACATTATCTACACATATGTATCAAAGTGTTTTGTATGATAGTGATTTTAATCACTGCCAGATTAAATCTATACTGGAACTATTCCACGTCCCCACTGTGCTGGGTTTTATTAATTTTATTTAGACTAAGCAATGCTGTTCAGAAATTCTCGATTTTTTTTTTACATATTTAACTTTATAATGCTATTACTTATTGAAAAGTGTATGGATCAACACAATTTTTTCATGAGAAGTAGTATTTATGTACATCATTCATTCGACATTTTTTTTTTTTAAATCAGACTATCGGTATTTACCTTAATACAGGGGAGATTCAAAACATAAAAATGCATATAGAAAGTAGAACTTTTTCAACTTAATTTTTTAAAGTGTTCCAAACCTACTAACACTATTATATATATCTTAAATTATAACTTATGTAATTTACTTTATTATGGAAAAAAAAATTTCGGACTTTATTTTGTTTTTATGGTGAAAACGGACATCAAAGTTAATACGATTTTGTAAAAAAATTCTTTTATTTATTTTAACTTTATAACGTTATAACTTTTAGAAAAATGTATGGATCATTATAATTTTTTTATGTGTACTGTTTATATTCTTTTTTAATGCAACATACTTTTTTTTTTAATCAGACCATTTCCCTTTATATATTTATATATTATAAATATATATATATTCATATATTCCACTAATAATTCATAAAATTTGTAATCAGTATATAAATAAGGAAATAGGAGATCATCTTGCTTTTGCTTTTTGCTTTTGGAATAATCCATTAGTTTTTAATATTAAACACTATCTTTAGATTTGTATCGAAGTGTTTTGTATGGTAGTGATTTTAATCATTATCAGATTAAATCTATACAGGATCCAACTATGCCACGTCCCTATTATTCTGGGTTTTTTGAATTATGAATTGAATCATAATTTGTATTAAGCTAAATATGTTCAAAAATAAATGTTGTTAAAAAACTGTATGTCATGAGACACTCAAAAAAAAGTGAGACTTTTATTATTTAGTATTTATTATAATCTAATTCATTAAAAAATATCTTATTCTATAATAGAACAAGGAAAAAAACGCTTTTCTAGAAAAATTAATTGGCGTGTTCGGATTTTCAAAAAAAAATTTTTTCAATGCAAGTACTCGATCACGATACTCCAGGAAAGTAATTGGCGAAGATCAAACAATTTTTGGCACTTGCCCGCATGCATTTTACGACTTAAGGTTTGAAATGTTTACCAGAACCGCTCAATAACATTCTTGAGATATCATACAACAATTAATTCAATCCATTCATTTTTCACCATTTAACGACCTTTTCCGTATTAACAAACGTCAACCTTATACATTTTCCTATATTCTCTTAATGAATATTCCTGATTTTAATAATTAAATTTTTAATATTTTTTTTATTGATTCTGATGTAATATTTTTCCTGAAAAACACTTATCGTAGCCGGCGTAACAGGGTACTCCTAACCGAAACTTACAAGGATGGTCCAAAAAGGCTTACGAGCCGAAGGCGCGTGAGAATCGTAGGGCCCTATCTAGGCGAAGCCTAGTATTTATTATAATCCTGTTCATTGGTATATTTTTTTTTAATATACATAATTTTTATCTAGTTATAATAAAAAAAATAACCAATTAAAAATAATTTCGTACTGACATTATATAATTTTAGCTATCGATGTTAAAATACAAAATAATTATTTTTATCGATTTATTAGCACAGTATTGTGTGCCAAATTTCTTAAATATGAATTAAATAACTTTCTATTTTTGTTCTGATGTAAAAGTCCTTTTAAATTTTCTTGAGTCAATTATTATAGATTAACACAATTTTTTAATTCATTTAATTGGACTGAAAGCTCCTTTTGACTCGTATGATACTAATAGAGCCATAATAGTTTAGAATATTATAATTAAAAATATAAAAATTAGACATTAAAAAAAAAATATTATAATAATTTTTATTTGAGCCAAATAACATCATGTCAAATAAAAATAAAATGTTCAACAGATGGCATCTTAAAAAAAAAAGCGTAGATTGTGACTGGTGTATGACAGACCTAAAATATAAGCTAAAACTATAAAAAATCTTATAAATATTACATAAATGTTTTTAAAAAATTTATTGTTCACAAAATTTGCGAGGACTTTACATTATTACATAGAAATAAATATTATGAATTCATTGAGCATAAAAATTAAGAAGTTATTATTATACATCATGACTAATAATATTAATGAATTTCTATGACTTTTTAATTTTCTGTATTTTTATAGTCTTTTAAAACTAATGCATTTGTATGGCTTCTTAATATTAATGCATTTCAATGACTTATTAAAATTATAAAATTATGAAATTATGTGTATTACTATGATTTTTGATGTTCTTGAAGAATACAAACGTTGTTAAATTATTTTTAATAATGATTATCGACCAATATTGAGTGTTTGGGAGCTGAAACAGTTCTTTGTAATCTTTAGCCATTTAAAAAGTCAGAATATAATTAATTTTATGTGCTCTTAAATTTAAAATTTCCTCCTTTTTTCTTTTTTAGTACGATGTTTCCAAAGCTTATATAAATTTTTCTAATTTTGCTGATATTTTTCAAAATTTATCTATTTAAATGAATTTATATTTGACATAAATTTAATATTGATATAAAATTTTTTTTTTATTAAATTGAAAACACATTTTTTTTATTTCTTTAAATAACGTATATTTAGTTTAATTTCAAAATTATTCTTAAGAATATTTGCTTTTTTTTTTGTTTACCTATACATAAATATATTAGTATTTTTTAACATGTCTCCTAAATGAAACTAAATTAAATTAAAATTAATTATTAAAAAAAAATCTATCATATATACTAAAAATTACATGATTATCGGCTTTAAAAGCTGTTTCATCATAGAAAACAAATTGTTGGAGCGGGTTCATTTTTTTAATTGTATAATTCACAAAAAAGTCCTTTAATTTGATTTATTTTTGAATATTCCGTTACTATGCAAATTACTTTATCAAATTTTATCAAATATTGTATGATTTCTTTCTTTAATAACCAATAACTCCTAGACATGTAAATTTTGGATAGTTTTTTTTTCATCTTAAAGTAAATTGTATTATCTTTAATTTCATTATAATAAAATATTATCAAAAATTGAAAAAATAAAAAAATATTGATCAAATTTTTAATTACAATCAATAAACATTTTGTTCCTTCCCAATTTAAAAAAAAACTTTTGTGTGTTCACTAAAGTCATACATCATTATCAAACATTTTTAAAATGTAAAATACCGCGTTGTATACTTTTACTAGTAAACCTCTTATCTCTTATGTACTCAAACAAATACCAAAGCTATTTTTCTTAGCTTGAACACCTCAATAGTGATTACTCAACATTAAAACTTGTATTACTTGTTTATAATTTAGAAATTAATAACTACGCTATATTTTGTGTAATAAATAACTTTATATAAATATTTGTAATTATTCTTGCAAGTAGAAGGGCTCTTCAGTTTAGATTAGAGGTTACTATAGTTGTTATATCATAATTGTTAAGAACATAACATTGTGATATTCGTAATTTATCATAATTAAACATTTATGTAAATGTAAATTCCGAAACTTCCATTATAAATTAATGTTTGTTCATACTAAATTATTCTACTTAATTAGTTACAATCATATGTCACTATTAATTATTTTAATTTAATTATTAATTATTAAAACATATTCTTAATTCACACTACATAAACTAAAAAATAATATATAACATCAACTTTCTTTTTAAGAAGATCTCTTATGTAAATGTATTGAAGGAATAGAATTTACTACAGCTAAATGATAAAATGGTAAATTCAAATAAGGTAAGATTTTTGGGAAAATAAAAAAGAAAGACAATTATTAATAACATCCAATGTTCCAATTTATGTCCTAATACTAAAAAATAAAAATTTTAAAATTACTGTATAAACTATTAACGTATCATTAAAGACTTTTAGATTTTATTATTACTTTAAAATTCAAAGACAAATAATATTACAGAAAAACTAAAACAATTTCAAAATCGAAAACTCAACAATATTTATAATTTATTCAAAAATGTAGTATGGTATTTTATTTATGCAAATCAAATTAGCTTATATATAATATACAATATATTAAAATTTTCAGAATTTGTTTAATAGAAAGGTAAAAAATATAAATTTACATGTAATAAAAAATATTTTCAAAGTAATACTTTAATAATCAATACTATTGAAATCAATCAACGTAGTAAAGTAAGTTTGTGAGTGTTAACTCTTTGAGTTATTCTGGTAGTTTAGGATAAAGCTTATTCACCTGTTTGAGAGTGGTCTTGTCCTGTTGATATGTTTGTAGTTTTTGTTTTAAAACGTCTCTTTTCTGAAAAAAATAATAATAATAATACATGTTATATTATTATTACTAGGATTACCAAAGGTCTGATAATATTTCGAAATTTTCTGTTATTCTCAAAATAGTCACCCTTAAAAATATTTTAATTTAAGATGACACTTGAACAGTTAAAGTAATTTCAAAAAAATATTTATCTCTTGTATATTTTTCTGTCATCTTTAAAATATTAAAGATATATAAATAGAAAACATATTTTCTTATGAAAAAATTTATTTAATAATTGGTGTTTGTCAACTATCTTTTTGATATAATAAAGGAATGTATGGGATTTACTGACGTAACAAAGTAGCTGAAAAGTATAATTAAAAATATCTTATGTTATTCACTAATAATTTTATATTGTACTTCACATCAATAAGTCAACAGTTTACAAAATAGTATTTAACATCCAAATATTGACGTGGGTCTTCAAATAATTGTATAATAAATTTGTAAATATATATAGTTATATATTTAAATATATATGTTTAATGAATCTCAACAGAAATTTAATTATAATTCACGAAGATAATATTTATAGACGGCTAACAAAACTATAAAGTGGTTATTAAACAGATTTATAATATGAATAGTTAGTAAATCAATTTACATTTGTCAGTTTGTTGAATTGTATTTTCAGTTGCTTCAAATGTTTAACACGTTGCTGCTGGCCATGTACTTGGTAATGTCGTAGTTCAGATTGGTTGAGTAGTTTGCTAGGTGATTTTTGTACATTTATCACGTCTTCGGTCAATCTACTCTTCTTAATCATCAGTTCTTCATATTGATTTTTGTATATGTCTAATTCGCTTTTAATTATTCCTCTTTTTTCAAGTAACTGCTGCTTTTTTCTCTTTTTTCTAAAAAGAAATTGTTATAAAATATATTATTTTATTTATAATTTAAAATTATTACTTACTCGGCAATCTTTTCTTTGAGCTGTTGAATCATTTCCATATCCTCTAATAGTTCGTCATCATCTTCAGCTAATAAACGACTGAATTCTAAACTCCTCAACTGTTGTGCGTTGATTTCCTCAGTAACGGCATAAAATTCATCTAAAACCACAGCTTCAATTTGTCTCTCGTTTTTGTGGGCATTTAGTTCAGCGTGTCGTGCAGTCATATGAGACAAACGGTCCTGTAGCATGTCCGTTTGTGAATCAAGCACATCAGCCGTTGATTCTAAAGCGATGTTATTCTGGTGTGCCGATACTGCAGCATACCAAATGGCCAACCAATCTTTGTTACCCTCTGAAAGTCGCACCAACTCATCTGATACAGTGGACAGTCTACGTTCAGCCACTTGAACGATTTCCTTTCTAGATGGACATCTTTTTTGAACTGTAGTGTCGGTTATTAATAATTGTAGTTTATTTTGTATTCTTGTAATCATACCTTTAATTTGTGCAACAGTCTTAACAGACGTTTCTCCGTTTACTCCACTTAACACACTTGTTGCTGTTACAGCCATTTCTGCATTCTTGCAAGCTTGACTGAAAGCCTTTGCAGCGTCAATCAGAGTTGAACGGCCGAACGATTCCATGTAAAACCGAAAAAACCTTAGCCTACAATTCTCAAATTCTTCATTAGTATTTTTAATGTCCGTTCGTAGTGCTGTTATGACGCGATCCTCGTCAGCTAGTGTTTGTTCTAGCTGTTTAGCATGTTCCCCTTTGACCCTGTCCAACTGTTTAAGCCTGTCCAGGTGTCTAATTAGGTTCACTTCATAATCTTGTCTAAGACGTCTTTCTTTTGCAATTAGCTGTTCTAAGGCTTTTAGACTGACGTTCCACAAATTTTTGGTTTTTTTTGTATCTTCACAGTCAACTTTCACGCTTTCTCCCTTTATAGGATCCAAAAAACTAAAAAAAGTGAATATTCGTTCAAAAATTTTTTTTTCAATTTTAAAAACGTTAATAATATTTTTATTTACATGCAATTATTATTTGTAACTAAATAAATAAACTGAATTAATTAATAAATGAAGAGTTATTCTCAATTTAATTGAGTGTTTAATTATTTTTTAAGTCTATTCTTTAAGCTATATATTATTATATTTTTATGGAAAATAATTTAATTTAAAAATAATAATCATTTATTATTATAAGAAAAATCAATAAAAAAAAATATCAACTACAAAAGATTAATATATGATAAATATATGATATATGAATATAAATATAAATATATAAATATATTAATATATGATAAATCAAAATTTCCATAATAATCAATCACTTTGTATCTATACTAGCGTCATTATTAAGTCATAAAGAGATTTAATTATTTTAATCAGCTTTTAATATCCTAATTTAAAATTACCTATAGTGTATGCCTTACTTATATTTTTAACAATTTAAGTGACATTGACTAAGAATAGACTCAAGCTGGTATATGTGAATAATGAAACAATCTAATTACAGAATATATTATGTTTAATGAAGAAATTTAAGACGGCGAATCAGTGAATAGTATGTTAACTAGATCTAATTTATACATCAAATCTTCTTTGTAACTGACTTAGATGGAATTAAGAATTCATAAATCATCCCTATTTTTTTAGTATTTTTACAAAATTACAATTGTTATTTAAAGAAAATAAATTATTAACATTAAATAAAATTAATAAAATTAAACTTAATAATAAAATTATTAAGTTTATAAATATTCAAGTAGAAAATATTTAAACTCTATTTTATAGCAATTAAAATTGAATTTTCTGTAATACCTAAAAATGAACTTATTTAAGTTGTACATTAAACTTTTCAGGTATAAAAATGAAAATGAATAGTCATTGATTTACTAATATAAATTTTTTAATGGCATAGTTTTCGTTAGTATATCACAGTAACCAACTGTTATTAAATTTTTTTAATAAAATTATTGTATTTACTCTATATTTTTGTTTTTCTTTTGAAAACCTAATGACAATGCTTTTTTGAAATGTTCTATTCCACCTATCAACTCTTTAGTCAAACTCAATTTTTTCTTTTTGCTTTTAACCTGTAAATAAAAAAGTTGTAATGCATGCACTAAATGGTATTATTATTATTGATAAAATTAACTATGTATACATACAACACAATTGCTATTCGAATCATATTCCTTAGACTGTCGGCTTTCCGATGAGAGTCGAAATTTTTTTATTTTATCCATTATAATTAACTTTTAACGAAACTAGTAACGAAATTATTTCGGTTACTTGAATACCGTTAAAACTATAAACAAAAATAAATTTAATTAATTAACATTCTTTAGTAGAATCAATAAAGTGCCATGACGTATTTTCGAAAAAATTTAGGAAGTATGGAGTTAAAATTTTTTTATTTTACTTCTTGAAATGAATAGTGGATTTTTTATTTTTGATAGTTTTTAAAGTAAAAAAGGTCAAGTTTCCCCTTGCTTCATTTATACAGTAATCAGTAATTTTTTTAGGTTAGCAATTGGTTGTGGGGTGTGATTAGCACAAAGATTCTCCCAAAATAAACATACTAATTTAATTCTACTATGTAGAATAAAAAACTATTTTTTGAACAATTTCATAATATATTCTTTTTAAAGTAAATTTTACTAAGAATAATTATAATTAATTTATCATAAGTCAAGATCTTTTAATGGTGATACAAAAATAAATTTTAACTTTTTATTTTCTCTCAGTCTTTTTTATTTTGGTATTGGAAATAAATTGGAAAGTTAATTGAACTTTTTAAAATAACTTCACAAATATGTCGTATAAAAAAGTACAACGCTTTCAAAATCAGACAATAATTTAAACACATTATTCTATATTTTATATTCAATATTATTACCATATCAATTTTATACCTCAAAAAAAAAATAAAAGACTAATTGCGGTATTTTGATGAAATTAGATGGAATCCTTATTTTTAACTTCAGTTTCAAATAACAATTGTAAAAAATAAAATTTTTTACTTACTTGTTAACTCTACTCAGAAAGTGTCAGGCGAATATTTAATAAAAACAAATTAATATTTAAACAAAAGTGGTATTTAAAATTTGTGAAATTGTTAATAGTATCTACCTTAGTATAGTTGCATAGCTGGGTAATAACGGTGGTATAATATTATGATTCGGTAAATTGGCAATCGATAGTGTGTTCAATGTTATGATTCAGGGAAAATTTATTACTTTTATTATTATTTTGTCGTATTACATCGGTGGAGTTGATACAAGCGTATATTTTTATGATACCTTTCAGTTAACCTGATCGATAACACGGTGGTTTTACCGTATTTACTAATAAATAAAGCAAAACGATTAATCGAATTATCTTTATCTGTTAATAACAAAACTAACTTTAATTGTATACTAGACTTTATTATCAATGCTATTGCACGGCATATTCAAAAAACAAATTTACAACTTTAAATATAATTTTATTAATTTTATTATAACAAAAATATAGTAAATTAAATCCTTTTAATAAGTGATCAGATGATCACTTATCCAATAAGTGTTATTTGTGAGTTGCATTTATGAAGATACCAACTATCGGTTGTATTGTAGGTCTGAATGAACTAGCAAGGGGAGGTCACGTTGGTGGGGTCACCTATTTTCATAAAATTTATATAGATCTAATCTATATTGAATACAGAATAAGACGTATTTGGAATTTTTGCTAATGTCCCCCTAAGTCGAGAAAATTGACTTTGAAAATTTTTAATTAGCTTAAATAGGTCATTTTTCTTCCGGTATACATCTCGTGTTATGGTACAGTCAACAATGCGTGATCCTATAACACGTATAGATTCGGCATCGATTGATGAAATATTGTGCATTTTTTTCACTGTTTTCTCTTTGAATTATTAATTTTATGTAATATTTGTTAATTTTTTTTTACATTTTATGTGTCTATATAGTTTTATTTGCATTCAAAGCTCATTTTGATGGTACAAATTATTGATAGTCCAATGGTAAAATTATGATTAAAGTAAAACAATATTTTATTCACATAAATATAACTTTTACTATAATTTTATTAACTAGATAAGAGTATATTTATAAAGTGATGATAATGAGGAATTAAATATATATAAAATCATTATATATTTTAATTTAACCTATTGTAATTTTCGAAAAAATGTATGACAAAAAGTCGTAGTCAATAGAATAAATAATAAATAATAATTTATAATTTTATTTTTTATTATTATTAATTTTAATTATTAAATAGTAATTAAAAAATAATAATTTAAGATTTTTAAATATACGTAAATATTAATCAATAAATATAATTCAATTCAAATGAATAAATTTTATTCAATGAAAAAAAACGATTAACTTTACTTCTTCATAAAATATGAACTCCACGAAAACATAACACTGAACGTTAAACCTTACAAAAATCTCTCTCCTTTATAATTTATATACTCTTACCCGGTTAATATAAAAAATATATTTTATTTTTATAAAAAATTTTTCAAATATTACGTAAAATTAATAATTCAAAGAGAAAACAGTGAAAAAAATTGTCATTAGTCAATGGAATTCAATCCCAAGTCCGAACGTACTAGAAGTTCACTGACTGTACCATAACACGAGATGTTAACCGATAGAAAAATGACTCTATTTAAGCTAATTAAAAATTTTCAAAGTCAATTTTCTCGACTTAGGGGGCATTGGCAAAAAATTCCAAACACGTCTTATTCTGTATTCAATATAGATTAGATCTACATAAATTTTATGAAAATCGGTGACCCCATCACCGTGAACTCCCCTTGTAAAATTTAAACAGTTAAAAAATGTTACACATTATTTTTTTTGTGGGAGAATTTCCGAGAATATATTTAATAGATAAACCTTTTATGAGTAGGTTATTATGATTAGAAATATTTTTTAATACACTTAAGCGACTCCCAGATAAGGGGGTACATTACATACATATACATTATAACAAAATAACAATGAAAAACATTGGATAACAAAATAATTAATGAAATAATTTTTTATAATTATTATACATATTTTTAGATTAGTTTATTTGTTTCAGCAGTTGACCATTATAATGTAGGGCGAGGTTAGATGACAAGGTTAAGATTCGATCATTTTTTCTGAATTCTTTGAGTGGATTAATAAATTGAAATATGTATGCAGTAAGTTTATGAGAACTTATTCCATTTTTTGCATAAAACCATGAATTTGTTTAATTATTTCTTTCATCTTGTAAAGAAAAAATTTATCATATTTATGGAGTAACATGACAGAAAATATAGCAAAAGAAATAAGTCTCTTAATATATAGACGTTAAGCTGTACTTTTAGAATATTCTAGAGAGACAGTTAAATGTACATTAGAATTCTAGTAAAAAAAGGTTTGTTGTTAAAAAATTATACAAAAAAACATTCTATATAAATTTCTTACCACAACTAAAATTATGTGCGCGCATTTGTGTTATTACTAGTGGCTACGATTTCCACTAGAGATGTTTATTCTAGCTAAGATGTTTTTGAGTGATTTTGAGAAATACTGAATTTGTCATCTTTTCTTATTTGTTAATTTACTTTGCCTTATCCTATACTTAAAGATGTTAAAAATAATTTTAGAAAAATTTTACGAATCATCAAAAGATCTAATTTTAGTTTATATTTAATAACGAAGTTGCGTAAATCTTTTTAGTTATCGGTAAACTCGATTGGAAAAATATCCTCGTCGTACGTGGTAGCTGTATTCCTGTTGAGTTCTTTTATAACCTTTATTAAAATAATAAATATTGTTAAAATTATTAAAATTAATGAAACCATATAGATAAACCCAACCAACTAGTATTAAAAAACCGAGCACAGGGGAGTCGCGGCACAGTGGTGACGTGCATTAGTTGGGTCAAGTATAATATTATCTGACAGTGATTAAAATCACTATCATAAAAAACACTTCGATGCAAATATTTAGATAGTATTAAATTTTAAAAAATTGATGGTTGATTCCAAAAGCTACATGATTTATTTCAAGTTTTATGATTAATGAGTGTAATATATGAATAAATAATAATTATAGCAATTAAATTTAATATAAAATTGATATTCAATAATTTAATTTTGTAATTTTTACGGAGATATTATAAAAATAATAAAGAAGTTATATTTTGCTTTACTTTTACTAGTATAAAAATTTAAAAGGCATGATGCAATACTTTTTAATAAAAAATTTTTAAATTTGTAATTTTTTTGGAGATTTCCCCCATTTACGGGGAATGAGGGAAATTTTTTCAATTTTTGAGGGTAATGTCTTTGACTAGATATGATTTGTGATTTTTTGACGTATCGTTGAAAGAAACCAGTTCGGTGAGAGCTGAGAAAAAGCGGTAACAGACACAAAAAAAAAACACATCATAGTAAAACTAATATCTTCTCAGCTAAAATTGAAGAAAAAAGTTATAATGAAAAATCATAATAAATTTTAAAAACCATAAATAGTATTAAATAAAATTTTTGCTACATCTATCAATTAAATTAACTAGTAATTTGTGATTATCATTAAAATTATATTCTTTTACAGAACAATTATATTAATTTTTTTTGTTTGAACGTTGCCTGTAACCAGGTGTTTTTCTTTCATCTAAAAACTTTGTTCTTGTTCCTGTTGTACCAATTATAAGTTCATTGTTGGCCAAGTCAATTGTACACTAATTAAATTATTGCTAATATAATGTTCCATTTAAATTTATTAACTGTATTCATAAAGACAATATTATCACTACTTTTATGTTGCCCCTTCAAGCACTTAGCTAAAGGGGCTTTTCATTAATGGTAATATCAACTACCACAAATAAATTAAATTAACTTGAAAAATTCAAATTTTATAGAGTTGTAAATCCTAAAGGAATTTATAATTAAAAAAAAAATAAGTACTGTAGTGATTCGGCATTGTAGACTTTAGTATAGATTGATAGCTATCAGTGATTAACATCACTGTTGGATAAAACGCTCATTTTAAAATGTTTTTATTCAATTGTGCATAAAAACCCAGTACAGGGGGGTCGCGGCACAGTGGTGACGTTGCATAGTTGGATCAAGTATAATGATATCTGACAGTGATTAAAATCACTATCAAAAAAAAAACGCTTCGATGCAAATCTTTAGATAGTGTTTAATTTTAAAAAATTGGTGGATTATTCCAAAAGCTTCATAAACTGCTAGTTCCTTATTAATATTCTGATTAAGATAAAGTATGTCAAATGAAAAAGGGATTATTAAAAAATAGTAATTCCCATAAAAAAATTATATTGATCAATACACTTTTCAATAAGTAATAGCATTATAAAGTTAAAAATGTAAAAAATAAAATTGAGAATTTTCACACAATAATAGCATTTGGTAGCCATTTTCACCGTGAAGACAAAATAAAGTCGAAATTTTTTTTTTACATAATAAAGAAGATTACATTAGCTTTAATTTAAGATATATATAAAAGTGTCAGACTTTCCGGAACACTTTCAAAATTTAAGTTGAAAAAGTCAATTTTTTGTCAAAAAGTTGTCATTTTGAATCCCCCCCTTAGGCAGGTAAAAANTCAAAAAGTTGTCATTTTGAATCCCCCCTGTAGGCAGGTAAAAAGTCAGATTTATAAAAAAAATATACCAAATAATAGGTAAAGAAATCATGCATCTACAAAAAAAAGAATTATATTAATCCATACATCTTTCAAAAAGTTATAGCATTATAAAGTTAAAAATATAAAAAAGAATTTTTTTACAAAAATCGTATTTTTTTTATTAAGTTTAATGTCTGTTTTCACCATGAAGATAAAATAAAGTCCGAAATTTTTTTTT